GCAGCCATTGCTGACAGAGGCCTCTCACACGCCCTGCACTTCGGGGCGAAGCCACAGACTGAGCTCTCAGCCTGGGGCACTGTGCTCCCGCTTCTGAGTCAGCCCTTCTAAGGGAGCTCAGCCCCTGGTGTCCTCCTTCCCCAATGGGCTTCTAATCAGAACCGCTCAGCTGCAGTCTCCTTTGCATCAGGCCCATCAGAGCAGCCTGATGATAAGGACCAATCAGAATGCACGGCTCTGACCAGTCAGGCCTTGTGCTATTTGGACCAATCAGAACTGCGTGATTCGGAGTCCTCATTTACATAAAAACGGACCAATCGGGAACCAGGGCGGGGGTGGGGCTTTATAAAAGAGGAGCCCACTTCCAGTTTCCACCTGGCGCCGTGTTCTCCGGTTTGCGAGCTTCACCTGCACGGAGGCCTTCCTCTTCCCGCCTCCGTTCGAGGACTTCTGTGGGGCCACCCCGTCTGGAAGCAAGCTTCCCCCTGGGAGTCTGGAGCGGAGCGTGCATGGCACACACCTGAGACGGCTTTTCCTCAAGGTAAGTATCCAGAGCTACAAGCAGGGTGTTGGTCAAAGACAGTTTTGTAGAGCAGCTTGTTTCTAAGAACGCTCAGTGGCAAATGTTCAGAGCCCCTCGAACATGCTGCTGAAAGCCAAAACCGTTCGTTCATTCCCTTCTCTGTAAACGGGAAGAAGGTCCGCGCTGGGACTCCCCCGGGCTCACCCCTGGGCTGCCCAGCGAGGTCCAGAGGCACCTGAGCACGTACTTTCCGAGATCCTGGGTCCCGTGCTGCAGAGGAGATGGAGAAAAACATAGAGGCACAGTGTGCGGAGCTGAAAACATGGGCCTAGGAGGGCGGAGGAGGGGAACAGCTGAGGGGGGAAGGGGGCACTCACAGGTGAAGCGAGAGGAGAAGCCAGGCCAGGCGGCTGTTCTGTGCTTAAGAGGGCGGGAAGGCTGGAGTCAGCAGACGCAGGTGCCTGCGGCCTTGGCCAAAGCCTTAACCTCTCTGAGTCCCATCATCCTCATTTGGAAAACGGAATACTAATGGAAGGTGTAATCAACCATGAAGATATACATACACACACACACACACACACACACACACACACCGGTATATATATTCATCCTGATAGATCCTCCCTTCCTCTTACCTGGTGTGTCGGGAAGGAGCGAGGGCGGGCCCCACCCTGAGAAGAGCATGGATGGCAGATATCACAGTGTTTCCCCGAAAATAAGACATCCTCCGAAAATAAGACCTAGCGCAACTTTGGGAGAAAAAATTAATATAAGACCCTGTCTTGTTTTCGGGGAAACAGGGTAGTTAGCTCCTGTGTGAAGGAGGATAAAGACGGGAAGGACTGAAAGCTGGTGGTGTATAGCAGAAGGCACACCGGGTAAAGAGAGGGAGCATCTGTCACATCCCATAGCCAACTCCCAGCGATGACTGTCATTCAAGGCCAAGGCCCCCCAAATGGAGCGTGGGAGAAGGGCTTCGAAGCGCACATTCGTTTGGCAACGTCCATTTTGTGTGTCTTGCATGGCATGGCCCAGTGGTGCGGGGCACGTTGGGACTCCATCGCTGATGTCTGATTGGTTTTTATTCTTGTGATTAGAATGTCCCGCCCCAGCAGGGGGTGCAAACCAAGTCCTACGACCACGAACTGATGACTCAGTGGTGTTGGGCTGCCCTCGCTGGCAGGGACCCGGTGTTCTGGCAGCAGAGGCATTTCTGAGAGACGTCCCAGATCTGCCCGTGAACAAGCCTGCAGTCCTGCTGGGACAGTCTGGCTGCCCATGTGGCCACCCCTCCCGGAGGCTGCCCTGGCTGCCCCGGTATTATGTTTCCAGAGATCTTTGCTCACTGTCCAGGATCAGAAGGGCGCCAGCAGGAGTGGTTTCTCCACTCCAGGAGAAGGCCCCCTGTCTGTAGGGAGAGACAGGCATGTGGGTGTTCCAGGCCTTTCATTGAGGTCACAGGAGCTGGATAGATCCCCCGAGTTTCCACACTGCAGTAGGAGGGCCCCGGTTCAAAGAGTCTCTTCTCCGGAGAAATCCAAATGACACTGCTGCTTTGCCCTTCAGAAAACTTCATCTGCTCATTTATTTTGCTTGGTGTGTGTGTGTCATGACCACAGTGGTTTGTAACCTTCGACTTGTCCCTGTTCCGTCTTTGGCTTTAAAATGCCACACAACCTCCTCCTGTTGAGATTGGAAAGAAACTCCCTTTCACTCCGAATGCAGGGAGAAACTGGTGGAGGATTAAGATGATTGGGGGTGGGGGAGAATCGATATCATAATTAAACAATTAAAATGATTTCGGGTCTTGTTTTGGTGTTGATACAGTTCCCATGGCTTCCAGACCCTCCCGGAGTCTGGGCCCTGGGCAGTCATGTAAAGGCTCTTTGTTGAGAACCCAGATTCCAATTTGCCATTAACCTGAATACACCCTGCTCACCTCAAGGAACTGTGAAAACAGAGGAGTCACAGAAAGGAGCTATTCAGCTGGAATTGTGTGTGTGTTTTTTTATAAGAAAGTCTCAGTTGCCAAGCCCAGGATAGCATTTGCTTACTTGGGCAGCTTGTTTGCTACAGGCTCCGTTTGTATAAGAGGGATGGCAGGGATAAAGCTAAGCTCAGTATTTTTCAATTACGGGACAAGTTTCTGTTACTTGCAACCAATGGGGGTGCGGGGCGGGGGGAGGAGAGAAAGAGGGGGAGGGGGAAGGAGAGGAAAAGAGGGGGGGAAAAACGAGCAAAGCCTGCACTGAAATCGTGGTGTTTTAACCTCATTTGTTTTCAACGCGGATGTTATCAAAATAGACATTTATCCTCAGCCAGACCTTTGTGCTAAAGACAGAAAATGGCCCAAACCGCTTTGGCTCAGTGGTAGAGCGTCGGTTTGTGGACTGAAAGGTCCCAGGTTCGATTCCGGTCAAGGGCATGTGCATTGGTTGCGGGCACATCCCCGGTAGGGGGTATGCAAGAGGCAGCTGGTTGATGTTTCTCTCTCATTGACGTTTCTAGCTCTCTATCCCTCTCTCCTCCTCTCTGTAAAAAATCAATAAAATATATTTCAAAAAATAAAATAAAGACAGAAAATGGACCCCAGAATGAGCACCTAAAGCCTCCTTCACAGTTTTCAACCACTCATGTCCTATAAATGAGTGACATCTTGTAGCCATTGAGGCAAGAGAAGGAAAGGCGAGTCTGAGAGAGTGATTTGTTTTCTTGGGTAAAAGCTTCTAAGCAAAACAGAGGAAGACTGTTAGCCAGCCTGCATCTGGTTTTCCAAGCTCAGGTACCAGTGGACATATATCTGTCAGCATTTAAGACCACTTGGCGCTTCAAGGAATTTCCAAAGGCTATTCTTTGCAAGGTGATCAGACAGAACTCTGTGGTTTGCTGGTGGCCGTGTGGAAGGAGGCTGGGTCGTGGGGTCGGTCTTTACTGGGTGGGAAGTCCTGCTTGGTTCCCTCTGCTGGGATGTTCTGTTCAACAATTCCCAGAGGAAGATCCTTCTGGAGGAAAGGAGTGTGAGAGGGTCAGGTCTCCCTGACCTTGGAGTTCATGAGTTACTCCAGTTTCTGTTCAGAAATTCCCCTTTTGCTTGAGCTAATGCGAATTGAGTTTCTGTTAACTTGCAACCGAGAGAACTTGAGCCAACACCACCTTCCATGGCCTGGCCCCTGCTCCTCCTCCGGCCTCATTTCCTGACAAGCCTGCCTCCAGCTTTACGCTGTCCTTCTGTCTGTCACCCTGTTCCGTGCTCCCATTCTTTGCTCTGTTGGGACACCTTGTCACCCATCGCCACTAGGACCTTTATCTCTAAACTGCTCTGTGCAAACTCAGGCCTGACCCAGCCCCACTCCCACCTCAGCCTCCCCACCACGTGGTGAGGGGCTGCTCTCTGTTGTCGGTGAGCTCCCAGAAGCCTCCACCCTTTCTCGCCTCCACTTACCTGGAACCTGGGTGTCTTCTGCTACTTTCCTAGTGGAGCCTGTGCTCTCTCACCCCTTGGACTTCAGGTCTGGAAGGGATGGGTCTGCTCTTTGCCTCCATTGCTCTTCCAAGCTTCTTGTTTTCTTCCCTCAAAGCACCCTGCTCTCTGGAGATCTAGCGTCAGCTCTCCACTCCTGTCACTGCTGCCTTCTCCCACCCTCCCAGTCACCTTCTTTCACTTGCTGAACCTACCAGAGCTGGGTTCCCTCTTTCCTTTTCCATCCTGACTCCTCTCACCGTCTTTGGTGACTTGAACATCCACATAGACAATTCTATGTGATGATACCATAGCCATAAGCACCTCATTTCTGGTGATGCCTTCCTCCACACTCAAGCATTTATTGACGACAAGCATAGAGACAATGGGCCCAACGGAGGAGGTTCTATGATATTTATCTTCAAAATTATAATTTCTGTAACTGGGGTGACTTTATTTATTTCTCAAACTGGGACAATTTTGTGAATGAGAGAGGATACCAAAGTAATTAAATTATATTATTTTGGGAAATATTTACTTATTGATGACAAATGGCTTTTGTACTAAGACCCCTATAAGATAATTATACTCAAACTATTTTCCGAAAGAACATTTTTCTTTTTTTAAAGAACATTTTTCTTAAAATAATAAATTACTTGTGTGTGTACATTGAAAAACAAACAAACTCCTTTATATCGATTATATAGATGTTTAAAAATATAGGCAGAGTAACTGTTCGTAGTACTTACTGACGTTCTTTGATTAGTTTCTGAGCAGAATCTGTCACTAATCGTGTATCACTGGTATCTTTACAAAGAATTTCATTTTTTTGAAAAATAGTTTTCGTATTTTGAAGTTTTTGAACGTATTTGTGTGCAATTGCCTTTAAACTTAAATTTATGGTTAATAAATTTGAAATTGCTGTCACTTTCATTGACTCTTCTTTGTAGCCCACATTTTAAATTGTTATACTCTCTCTCCAGGTACTGAGAGATTTGGTAAGCTTTATGCAAATTCTGCTAAATGGATGATGACTTCGATTCAAAATGTTTTATGTAAATCTTTTGTGCCAGGTATTTACACAGGTGTTAACCTTTTTGCCTCCTGTCAGAGTAGCATGCTTCAACACACATTTCTACAAAACATAACTTGTCGAATGTCATCTCTATTTGTGATTCTTCTGAGCGTTTCCCGGTTGCACATGAGTTTACAACCTAACACACCAGTCCTTCGCAGAAGCTGGGCGCAGAAAGTGGAGGTCAGCCAAACCCATCCCATCGTAATGCTGCCATGAATGATAACATCCGGTTAACAAACAAAAGCATCCGGGACAGATGCCACACTGGGTGGGACCCAAACAGGCCTCCTGCAGGAAACAGCTGTGACACTGCCTGCTCAGAGGGAGCTCAGAGGTTCTCAATTCCGATGACATCTCAGCCCCACAGAGAGCTCCATTCCCAGACCCCGACTTCACTGGACTGGGGTGGGGACTGGGAAGCAGCGTTGTAGTCTTCACATGATTCTAACCTGCAGCCTGGGCTGAGAGCCTCTGCACCAGCTCAGTGCACCACTGGTAAGCCGGATGGCCGTGGCTCTCTATGGCCCTAACACCAGCGGGTGCCAGCACAGTGTCTGCACCCGTGGGTGTGCGTCACCCCGAGCTGGGAGCGAGGGCACGGCAGGAGGTCTGGGGAAGGAGAAGAGCAGGGGTGGCCCTGCCACACACACTGTACCCCTGCCCGTGACGCAGAACGATCACATGTATCCTTTTCAACATTTAATTAAGCCACTCCTACACGGTCACAACAAAACGAAACCCGTTGACGGTTACAGAGTTCTAATGACAGGCCAAAACAAAACAAAAAACAACAAAAGCTTTGGTTAGGCCTGTCTCAAGTGCTGTCCTCTATTCTGTGTAGTTATTTTGAAAACAGTTGTCAAAACGTCAAACTCTCAGCATCCTCAAAAGGATGTCTCATTTGGGCTCATTTCTACACATTCATGATCATCTCCCTAACTCCAAGGTTTGAGATAGGAAAAGGGCACACTGGCAGAGAATAGTAGCCCACGTGCCTCCTGCCCAGTGCGCGCCCAGGAGGCCCGGGGGGCTGTCCCGGCGCCAGGCAGGACAGCGGCGACTGGCCGCCCAGCCCGGATTCAGTTCCGAGGCCGGGAGTTGAACTCCGCACAGATGTTCCGGATGACCTTGGGGACCAGGGTGTGGAGGCTGTCGAACTCGTCCACGAAGAAGGCGTGGTCCCTGGCCGGGTGCGTGGCGATGACGTCCAGCTCGTCCTGGGCGGCCCAGGCGATGCCCACGGCGTAGGTGATGACTCCTGTGGGGACAGAGCGGCCGTGAAGCAGACGGACAGTTCCAGGCAGAGGCCCTGCTCATGAGCACTCGCCTTCCCGCTGCTCTGCTGGCGGCCAAATGCAGACTGGGAAATGTGCGCCAGAGTATGGGCATCTGCCAGGTACCCGCAGGAATAAAGTGAATGCAGGTGCTATCTCACCGGAGCTTATCGTCTTTTGAGGAAAAAACCCACCACAGATAAAATGCAGTGAATGCATGATCAGAATTCCATATCCATGAGCCACAGAGGGCGTGACATTTTGGGACAACTATAAACTCTTGCTGCCCATGCAGACCATACCATTCGGCGCAGGCCTGCTCTACCTGCGTGAGGAGCCAAACGAAATGTCAGTCTCAAGTGCATCAAAGAGTCAGTTCAAGATCTTTCTAACTAAGACGGTGGCATTGGAGGATTCGAAGCTCTATAAGCCACGACCTCCAAGCTCAGCCCCAGAGCAGGAACCCTGCACAAGGACCCGGAGAGACGGCCACTGAGGACGGGCTCCATCGCCACCGGGAAGGGAGGGTCTCAGGATAAGTCAGTGGCCAAGCGTGTTGAATGCCGCAAGGAGGCCATGTAAGATGCAAACAAAGACGTGCTCAGTGGATTCAGAAAACAGGAAAACGAGGCATTGGTAGCCTGAGGGAGCAGCTTCAGGGGAGCAGATGCAGAAGGAACCAGATGAACTGCAGTGCATTGAGAGGGAAGAAGGAATGGAGATCCGGGCAGCACAGACGGCTGACCCTCTCCAGTAGAAGGGCTGTAAGGGGAGGAGGCTGGAGCATGGGGCCAAAGAACATGTCTTATTTGTCGGGAAGGGAGAGGCTTGAGGAAGTCTAGATGCAGATGGGGAAGAAGATAGTGGGGTTCCAGGGGTGGGACTGCAGCAGGGAGCAGGGTGTCCAGGGAGCAGAGGACAGATTCAGAGACGGGGCATCCGCTCTCGGTGGGAAATCAGGGACACGGCCTGGTGTATGGTTCTTGATTTGGGGTGGGGGCAGCTGGTCAGCAAGTGCATGACCTCACTGTACAAAAAGCCTATTCCCAGGCCACCTTCAGGCTGGCCGGAGTGGGGTGAGCAGGCTGCTGTGAAACAGAGGGCAGAACGGGTGAGTGGCGATGAGATCTGGCTCATCCTGTGCGGCCCAGGCGATGCCGACTGCATAGGGCGATCACTCCTGCGGGCCGTCCTGTCCAGGCCTCCGTCCTTCGGCCACCCAAGTGGCCCATGCCATGATCTCATGATCGCTAGCGTCCTCTGGGCGCCCCGTCCTGCCGACTGGAGAGCCATCCACACCTCACATGGCTCTGGTCTAAGCTGCTTTTCAGCTCTGGCTCATTAAACTGCACGTAAGCTGCCAGTCCCCGTGCTGACCGTTCCAGGGTCTTCTCTGAACACCGCCCACGTTGGGGACATCCAGCTTTGGGCCTCAACACGCTGGCAAGTGGCAGAGGAACAGCTTTGCGGCAGAACGGGGCTGGCTTAGACCGGCTAAGCGCTCATTTCTGCTCAAAGTCGGAAAGGCTGTCCCCTCACCCCAATAAAAATGCAAACGGTGTTAGACATTTGGTTTTTCAGCTCCTCGAGCCCACCCTTGTAGAGAACCTTGTACTAGCAATTCTGATGGATGTCTGCCCAGCCTTGGCTCGGATATTTCCAGGGACACGTATATATATGCTCTTGACTGGAATCGAACCCGGGACCCTTCAGTCTGGGGGCTGATGCCCTATCCACCTAACCGTACCGGCCAGGGTTCTGCCTGTGGTTCTGCACATCCTATGAAGTGTTAGGCGAAAGCCAGGCATCAAAAGACAGGCGCTTCCTCGTCCCACCGGCCCCCTCGGCAGCAGCCTGGCCGGCAGGACCCACTCACCCTTGAGATGAGCTGCCATGGCCGGGATCCGGATGTCGTCGTAGGACCTCCCGTCGGTGATGAGGACCATCAGCTTCCTCTTGTTGGGCTTGGACTCCTTGAAGAGCCGCTCCAGGGCGTAGTTGATGGCGGCGCCCGTGCTGGTCCCGCCGCTCCAGTAGCCCACCCTCCTGATGGCGCTGAGGACGTCGGGCTTGGTGCGGTAGGCGTCGAACCCGAACTCCAGCCGCTGCTCGTAGGTGTACTGCACGGCCCCGACGCGCGTGTCCGTGTCCGAGATCTCGAACTCCCTGCTGAGGTTGGCCACGAACTGCAGGACGGTGCGGAAGTTGGCGGTGCCCACGCTGCTGGAGCCGTCCACCACGAAGCCCAGGTCGGCCGAGTTGAGGCAGGTCTTGCTGCAGGCCAGCCGGCCGGCGTCGCACACCCGCTTCACCAGGGGCTGCGCGCTCTTGTGCAGACTGAACCAGCTGGGCACGCTGAGCGAGTAGAAGCCGTTGGTCCTGCACACGGCCTGGAAGACAGAGGGGGACACCTGCCATGTCAGGGGTTCAAGTCTCCAGTCTGTCTTTTTTTTTTTAAAAAAAAAACACATATATTTTATCGATTTTTTTTTTTTTTTAACAGAGAGGAGGAGAGAGGGATAGAGAGCTAGAAACGTCGATGAGAGAGAAACATCGACCAGCTGCCTCTGGCACCCCCCCACCCCCACTGGGGATGTGCCCGCAACCCAGGTACATGCCCTTGACTGGAATTGAACCTGGGACCTTTCAGTCCGCAGACCGACACTCAACCACTGAGCCAAACCGATTTCGGCTCCAGTCTGTCTTGATTACCCCCGTGGTCGGCAAACTGTGGCTCGCGAGCCACATGCGGCTCTTTGGCCCCTTGAGTGAGGCTCTTCCACAAAATACCACGGCCTGGGTGAGTCTGTTTTGAAGAAGTGGCGTTAGAAGAAATTTACGTTTAAAAAATTTGACTGTCAAAAGAAATTTCAATCGTTGTACTGTTGATACTTGGCTCTGTTGACTAATGAGTTTGCTGACCACTGGACTAGTCCACCAGGCCAAGGAAAAAGCAAACAGACTCGTGTTTGCTACGCCAGTTAGTCCTCCTAACGTTGTCTATCTCGGTTCACCTGGTTTGGCCCTCGCTGGGGTCGACCCCTCATGTTTTCTCTGAACTCACTCCCACCCCGTCCTCAGCAGGGTCTCTGTGGGGGAGAGCCATCCATTAAGCACTGGCTCTGGCTTCATATTTATGCCTCTGCAGAGTTGTTGGTTCATCTGTGCTGGCAGTCGGCCATACGATTGGCGCTGGTGGCCACCAGACGCAGGAGGATTAAAGAATGCTTTCGATCTGATAGGGAAAACGAGACACACACGAGAGGCAGCTACAGAGATGTCTTCAGAGCCGCCCTGGGCCCAGCGAGAAGGGGCCCCATGTGTGTCACGGGTTACAGTCCCTGGAAGAGATTCTCTCTCATTAAACCCCCACCCTCATCCTGCAAACTGGAATTATCACCCCTCTGCCATGACGGGACAAACCCAAGGCCAGCTGGGAAGGGACATCCCCAGTCCCCGAGACCAGCACATAAATCTCTCTGCCTGAAAAACCCAGCCCGTGTCCTCCAGACAACCCTGGCTCCGGGCAAATGAGTATTTACTTGTGCCCAAGCTCATTCCAGAAAAACTGTAATGCAGCTGCGAATAAACACGGAGCCACCTGGTCAGTGAGCTCCTGGAAGTGACCGGGCTGGCCTTCCTGGAGAGGAAAATCGCAGACCTGCTGTCGCCACATGAGTTGGTATAGTTCACATTTTATTTAAAATAAGAAATGGCTTAAAAGTGTCCCAAGAAATATTTTAAGTTGGTTTCTAAGGACCTAAATGGCGTTCATAACGCTTTGCCCGGGCGAGGTGACATTTGAGATGCGTGTGGAGGCTGAGCTGAAATCCAGCCGATGGATGGAGAGGAGAGATCCCCCGGCAGCCTGAGTAAATCCTGGCGGAAGAGAGCAGTGGTGTGGGTGTGGACAGACACCCGTGGGAGCCCAGGGCCTGTGTGTGGGAGTCACAGAAGGTGGGCCAGGAGCGGCGTTTGAAAGCATGATCTCCCTGACCGGGCTCAGCACCGCCCTTCCCTTGGTCATCAGAGTGGTTAGCCTGCAGTGTGCCTGCATGCACATGTGTGAGCTAGTGTTGGTGCCCATGTGCATGCTCACAGAGAGGCCTGCTGGCTGCCTGGCTGAGGTCCCTTGATATGTGGAGGAGCCTCTTTGTGGGACCTGGGGACTCTGCTCCCCCAACGTGCTGGCGCTGGCCTCCGCGCACCGGCTGCTGTGGGGTTTTGCTTTGAGAGGGCAGATCCTGGCCCTGGAGGTACTACACCCTCCCTGGAGGGCCCTGCCTGGACGTGAGCTTAGCATTTGTTCGGAGGAACAGGAAGCACAGCCTCGATGGCTGTTACCGCTTTGCGAGGTGCAGAGAAGCCTGGCGGCAGGTGGGCCTCCGGCAGTCACACACCTTGCTTGCGAAGTTGGGCTCCATCACGTACGGCTTCTCATGTTCCACGGCGCCCTCCACGGTGATGAAGAAAATGTTGATCCCTGACTCTCTGGCGAGCCGGGAGGCTTCCTCCACCATGTCGGTGGGCCAGCCGTCCACCAGCACCACGGCCACGTTGGGGGCGCCGCCTCTGTTCCCGTTGGCTTTGGAGAAGAAGCTCTTGGTCACAAAGGAGATGGCCTGGCCTGGGAGAGAAAGAAAACTCACGCCTGCAGTGATTATAATGATAGGAATAGGTCATCATGGCACAAAGAAGCCCAGAACAACGCTCTCATTCCCTCCCTCGTTTCTTTGCTTGCCGAGTTCACTATTGTTTTGCTCAGTGGCTTCTGCACATTCGCAATGGTGCGCAGCCATCACCACTATCCATTTCCCTCTGCTTTAGGCCTTTGACTTCGAATTGTCTCATATTGAAAAAGAAAAGAAATACGGACCAACAAGGAGGTAGGAAAGACTTTCAGGGGAACAAAGAAGTCCCTTTTCTGCCTGGTGCTGGAGCCCCACAAAGCCCATGAACTTCTTGTTTTCCAGAGCATGGAGTGGGAGGAGCCTGCTGAGTGACCGGAGCGTCTGCCTGCCTTCCTGCAGCTGGAGGTGAGCCTGGGGCTGCAGGGCCCCTGGGTGTGGAGGACTGAATGCCGGATTCATGGTCCCTTCTGTCCAGTTCCATGCCAGGGGCACAGGGGTGGCTTGCTAGGGCACTGTGACACCCACTGAGAGCTGAGGCACTGTGTTCGTCCTGTTGCCTATTGGCTGTGTGGCTCCAGGTAGGTCACTGCCTGTCTCTGTGCCTGGATTTCCATGACAACAAACTGCCTCAGCTGAGAGCTTGCCAACCACTGACCTAGACTCTTGATTCCAATAATTACAGGCTGTTGTGATTCCTTATGATTAAGCCCCTATCCTAGTGGTCGGCCAACTTGGACTAAGGGAGCCTCCAGTATGCCTTTCCCAAGCACATGTTTTATACTGTCAAGGGTCTCAGGAAATTTTTGGAGTTAATTGGGGTGACTGTCCAGTTTGCCAGGACTTCCCCAGTTTCAGCACTGAAGGGCCCATCTGCTCCCAGGCCCACTGGGATGACTGGTCACCCTCAAGTCAGCAGAGCCGCACGTAGTGAGACGGGGCCGTTCACCTGGGGTCTGTGCGCCCCTACGGCACTGGAGTGTGTATACATAAATCCCCTGAAATTATGAGTGTTTTGTGTGTATAAGTATCTATTTGGGTCGAAGGGTCATAGCTTTCTCAAGGGGATTCTCAAAGGGTCTTCAATCTAAATGAAAGTTAAGAACTACCTTCTTAAGGCTTTAGGATTAATGTCATTACAAAAAGCCAATGCTTTTCTGGTGTTGGTGAGCATCGTGGCTCTACCGGCCAGGACAATCTTACCTGTCCAACAAAAGGATCAGCTGGTTACATACGCAGTTGCTGGAGAAATGTCTTAGAGATCCCATGTGAGCTGGCTGCTAAGAGAAAACCTTGTGGAGAAAAGCTTTCATAACTGAAGCATAACTTCCCTCAAGGCCCCAGGGCCTTTGACATAGGGGTGATGACGATTCTTGATCATACTTGATCCGTGATTACACTTGAGATATTATAGATACTGTGTGAATCATTTCCTGATGTATTACTATTGTCCTCCTCTCTATAACGCTAGAAGACAATCACGTAGAAAGAGAGCCCGGTAGAAAGATAGAATGAATCCGGATCACATACCCACGTTAGACAGCCCTCCTCTCTGGGTGATCTTCTCTATGGCTGCTTTCAGGTCTTGGGAATTCATGTGAGTTTTGAGGTTGAATTGGGTAGCAGGGTTATCTCTGAGGAGCCAAAACAAGAAATAAAAATCAGGTGGACAGTTATTACCTGTGGAGGAAAGCAGAAGCCATGGCGGATTCTTTCCTTTACACCAAGCGTGTCAAACTCGCGGTCCGTGGGCCGCACGCCTTGTTTATTTGGCCCATGTTAGCCTTTGAGTTTGACATGCTTGATGTACACATAGAATGGAGGCTGCTTCAGTGAAGTGCCCCACTGTGGACAGGAGTAACGGCGAGACGGGAGGATGGGCTTCCCCCAGTGTGTGTGAGGAAAGGGGGCCGGCTCAGGCTTCAGGACACGAGGGTTCTAGTTTTGACCGTCCTTCCTTAGCTGTGTGACCTTGAGAAATCATTTCACTCCTCTGGGCTTCAGCTGCCTCATCTGGCAAAAACAAACATCATAGCACTCACGTTGCTAATAAGCAGGACTCTTGTCAGGTGGGGTTCTGCAAATGCCAAGATGTTCCCAGGCTGCCCCCAACCCTCTTCACCAGAAAGAATCTCAGCTGCTGGCCACTCCCTGGGTTACCTCTGCGCTGGAATGGCATCCTAGTGGCGTCAAGCAAAGACACCCTTCAGCTTTTCCATGTTGTGTGGCTCCTGGGCTGGGTGAGAATATTCCAGTCTCACCCGGAAGTCAGCATCTCCTTGATGGAAGCCTAACAATGATGAGCCCGAGAGGAGCTGGGGTGAAGGACATGGAGAAACAGAGGGTAACTCTTCTCTAGAAAGGAGCCTCGTGGGGAAACCGAACAGCACTGGGAGCAGCTGGGCAGAGTGGCAGACCCTGCATGAGCAGGTGGGGGGAGGGTGCTGCCAGGGGTGTGAGCACCATGCCCAGGAGCAAGTGCGGGTGAGTGGGGAAGCCCCATGTTTGGAAGCACCGACCAGGCTGCTGGCAGGGCTCCGTGGAGTGTGACGTCTAAGGTCCCACAGGGCCCCTAGCCTCCAGGCGAGCGTGCGTGTGCCTGGTTCAACGCTCCGATGCCGCTGTCTCTGACTTCTTTATCGTTTTTCAATAAGAGTCCCTGCAAATTATGTGGCTGCTCTTGGCTGCGGGTTGCTAAGTCTCCAAGGAGAGAGAGAAGGAGACTTTAAAAAGCAGCCTTTGCCAAAACTGTTTTGGCTCAGTGGATAGAGCATCGGCCTGTGGACTGAAGGGTCCCAGTTTGATTCCGGTCAAGGGCATGTACCTTGGTTGTGGGCACATCCCCAGTAGGGGGTGTGCAAGAGGCAGGTGATCGATGACTCTCTCTCATCGATGTTTCTAACTATCTCTCTCACTTCCTCTCTGTAAAAAATCAATAGAAAAATATATTAAAAAAATATAAAAAATAAAAAGCAGCCTTATCTCAGTTAATACAATTACAGCGGCTACAACTCAGGACATAGCCTCACCAATGCTGCCCAGCACCAGTTTATACTGAAATTAAGCACTAAGTAAGTGGCTATCCACAACCACTGGCCACTGTGCATATGAACTGAAATTTCTAGATTTGGGGAGAAGCAAAGGCTGTATGTGCTTACATAAATGCAATCACTGGAAACATCTATCTGATCTGGGAGCAGCTTTAGACAGTCCCAGGTTGGAATTTGAAGGGGCCTCAGTGGATGGAGCATTAGTGGTCCTTCAGAGGACCTGGCGCTGCCATCACCCTGGGACCTGAGAGGGGACAGTCTCGGCCCCCTCCCTCCTTCCCTAGCTCCTTCCCTGTTTGCTGACCTTCCCAGTTAGGCAAGGTGACCTGTCAGAGGAGAACCTGTAAAGAAGCTGGAAAGATGACCTTCTGTCTTTCGTTGTATTAATTAGCACAAGAGACATGGGCTGGTTCTTAAGCAAAACCAAACCAGCTACCTCCAGGGAAGACTAAGGAAAGTTGAAAACAAGCTCAACCGAGGCGGATGTTAGGCAGAATCCAAGGAGGTGCAATGCTACCAGAGGAAAACAAGTTCTCGGTTAGGATTAAATTAGAAAAACAACTACCGGTACTCAGCAAAACACAGGCAGGTGGGCCAGAATGAGAGTGATGCCTCTTCTGAAGGGCCTGATTCTGTATTTGTTTTTTTGTTTTTATATTTTATTAATTTTTTACAGAGAGGAAGGGAGATAGAGAGCTAGAAACGTCGATGAGAGAGAAACATCAACCAGCTGCCTCTTGCACACCCCCTACCGGGGATGTGCCCGCAACCAAGGTACATGCCTTGACCGGAATCGAACCTGGGACCTTTCAGTCTGCAGACGGATGCTCTACCACTGAGCCAAACCGGTTTCGACTGATTCTGTGTTTGTAATTTCATGTTATTTTTCCTTAAAGGAACCCCAAATTGCATGCATTTCAGGGTCCCTAAAGTCTGGATCTTCCCTTGGTGACCAAAAATAAGGACTTTTTCAGGGCTTACAAGAAATAGTTGAAACAACAAAAAATAATATTGGCTACAAAATAAGAAAAGGCAAAATTGATATTTATATAAGATAATGTAATTGTTTACCAAATGACACTATATATACTTTTTTAGTTGTAAAAACTTTAACTCCTAAAACTTTAATTGTATTTGAAAATGATTTGTGGGCTCGATTTTCTCACTTTGAAAGATTTCCTGAGTGTGTCTGATGATTGTCAAGAAATCACACCTAATTATAATATGTATTGCTCATAGACAAATAATTTAAAAAGCAAAAATATAAAGATTTCTTTCAAAAAATTTTACAGGAAAACAGTATTTAAATGTGGAACCTAATCGCCTAGTCACATCCATGGTGTTCCTCTAGAACCCTGGGCCGAGGCTGTGTTAATGTTGATCACTTTGTAGAGCGATTGTTGATTACCTGTCTCTCTCCTGATCTACGTAAACAATGGGGTCTCTGTTTTTTCGTGGTAGTTACCTTCTATGACGTCACTGTGAGCATCAAATTAGCGAACACTGAGCCATTGCTCCCAGGGGAGAAACAGGGCTAGGTTTCTGTGAGCCTCTGGTTACAACATTTCACATCAATAGATCAATACAGAAACTTGATTGGTGTATGTTTCTGTTTGAAGAAACCTAATTTAATATATGTTTCTTACAAATAATTAATTATATGGAATATTTCTATGTAATAAAACACTAGCTGAGAAGGGTTTAACATTTTCCTGACCCTGGGTAATGTTTACACAGTATCTTTGGCTTTCTGCCTCACAATGCCATCCACTATGCATTTTTTTAAAAAATCAGCTGTAATTTCATGAATTTATAAGTTCAGCCACTTTTTCATAACCTCAGCATGTACCATCGATGTTCTAGAGCAAACTCACGTACGGATCAGCAAATGTCCTTTCTTTTTCTAAATGTATATTTAACCATTGAACTTACAGCCAACAGTGCTATAACTCATACTTAAAAGGAAACTTATCCAGCACTTGTGTTTTCTCCATAAGCACACCATAACCTTCTTGCACTTAGAACCCTAGACTGGGGGTCATTGAATTTATTTAGTTTTTAAAATTGAGATAATATTGTATTAGTTTTAGGTGTACAACGTAATGATTTGATACAAATATACACTGAGTGGCCAGATTATTATGATCTCTGAACGCATAATAATCTGGACACTCAGTGTGTGTGTGTGTGTGTGTGTTAGAGGCCCGGTATAGTACATGAATTTGTGCATGGGTGGGGTCCGGCCAGCCTGGCCAGGGGAAGGGGACATGGGCAGTTTGCCCGCCTGCCTGCTGGTTGAGGGGACAATTTGCATATTAGCCTTTTATTATATAGGATATACACTGAGTGGCCAGATTATTATGCGTTCAGAGATTATAATAATCTGGCTACTCAAGGTATATATTGTGAAATAATTACTGGAATAAGTTTGTTGAACATCTATCACTACACATAGTTACAATTTTTTTTTTCTTGTGATGAAAACTTTTATCACCAAGTACTTTAAGGTTTCTTAGAAACTTGTAAGTACATGGTACAGTATTGTTAACTATAGTCACCATGCTGTACTTGACATCCCCGGAACTGACTTATGTTATAACTGGAAGTTTCTACCTTTGACCACCTTCACCCATGTCATTGGGGGCCATATTAAACAGTGAAATTATCATCAGAAAAGCACAAAAATGCACAAAATGTGGCACTAAACAGGCTGTGAAAAGAATACTTGTTTAAGGTATGAGCTGCAAGAAGAAAGCAGAGCATTGCTCTGTTTGACCTCAGCTGGGAATGTGTGTGTACTGAAGGACTCAAAAACTTCTCCCTCTGTGCTTGACTACAAATGACCAGGAAAGTACCACAAGTAAATGATTTCGGAGTTACAAATAAATTTTAGGGAGTAGGTGTTTTTGCAAATATGGAAGCTACTTTAGAGCAGACACTATGTCTCAGTGTTTCCCACCCTAGTGCTTATCAGATAGGGGTAATGGATAATCGTGCAAACACTAAGAATGGAGGCTCACATGTCTTCTCTCTCGGATCATCCCGGGTGGAGCTGAACTCTGCCTTGAGCTCCACAGATCACACTCACTATGACATCACTGAGGTCGATGAATCCATCTTTAGAGGCAGACACATGAGCTATTCATATGACCAATGAATAGGCGCTTTTAATTTTATTTAATGTTATTTCTTTAAAAAATACTGCCTCCCATACTCGATGGTGAAGTCCGGAAGAGCAGACTCTCTATCACATGTATTTATTTAGTGTTATTGGACTGAAAGTTTGGATCAGAGGGCCTCAGAAACGCTTTCCAACTGCTAAACTGATGATTAGGGGCAAAACCACAGCTCATCCCCCAAGGGACTTATAGGCAAATGTGATCAAACCACTTCAGTGAATTTTACCTCATTATCCCCTGCCAATGGCAGAGTGCTTAGTGCATGGGAAACACTCAATAAATCTTTATTAAGCTGTAATGCAATTAAATCATAGGAATGAATGATAAGTCTTTCACCTGCACACTGTGGCGGCTCTCTGTACCAGAACACCTGGTGTATGTGTCCTTTTCAGGATATATGGGCTG